AGACTTGGACCATCTTCTACTGCTTTCCCATGCCACAGCAGAGAGCTGGATTGGAAGAGGAGCAGCTGGGACTAGTACTGGCACACATACGGGTTGCCGGCACCACAGGCAGAGGATTAACCTACTATGCCACGACGCTGGCCCCATCATTCAGAAATTTAACTAATGGGAAAGAAATTTTAGTAATGGAAAGAAAGAGTTGTAAGTAAGGAAGCATTAGCATCGCTGAAAGATTTTATAGACAACTTGGTTATTTTTGAGGATGGTGAGAAGTTGAACGATTGAAGCAGTGCCCCTGTAAAAGATGTGCATATCCTCAAGAACAGAGAAAGTGAACGAAGAAGCTCCACAGTGAAAAGTAGCAAGATGACAAGATTGGGGAGCTCACACCCGGTGGAGTAAAGTTATTCACCCAGCTAATAAGCTGCTAAGTTTGATTTTTACTTAGTAAATAAAAGCACTCGATATTTCAGGCCTTAATCAGTAGCTGTTCATATTCTTCAGTGTACATTGTTGGCTCCTACTGGTTTCTTTTTGTTCAGTGGCGTTTAGTCAGTGAACAGCCGAAGCATATTGTTGAATATGACTTTGGCTGTGCTAAATGATTTTTCTTTCAGAATTACAAAGGACACATTTTCTCTCTAAGAATTTTGAATGATTACATACCAGTGAGCTCACTAAGTCAAAATAATAAGTATAATCACCAAATGCTTTTCAATATTTAGAATTGGAGTTCTTTTATGTGGCAATTCTGTGTCATTAGTTCACACTTTTATGTACTTGCCAATCATAATTGCCAATGCAGATGCTTGTTTATAATCCTACTACTTTGAAAACAGATTCAAGAATCTGTAGATAAACATTTACTTGACTGTTTGGATTTCTTTTTTATTATTATTTATTTATTTTCTATTTTCATTTTCTTTGGAAGGCAGAGAGATGGAGAACTTGATCCACTGCTTCACTGCCCAAATGCCCACAACATCCAGATCTGGGCCAGGCCAAAACTAGAACCCGGGAACACAATCCCAGGACCCAAGTACTTGAGTCCTCGTCACCTGCTGCCTCCCACGTGGTGCACTAGCAGAAGCTGAGAGTGGAAGCAGAGCTTGGACTCAAAGCCAGCACTCTGACATAAGCTCGGGTATCCCAAGTAACACCTTAACTGCTATGCAAACTCCTACCCCAGCTGTTGGGATTTTTAATGTTTCTCTAACATAAACATAATTAGAAGAGTGATTGAGTTCCTCAGTCACGAAATTTGACTTCAATTTGTAAAAATATTTGAAATTATAGAAACAGTACTCCCCAATTTTGGCTTAAATTTTGTTCCACTTAAGAATTACTTAAGGCTGGCACCGCAGCTCACTAGGCTAATCCTCCACCTGCGGCGCCGGTACTCCAGGTTCTGTTCCCAGTTGGGGCACCAGATTCTGTCCCAGTTGCTCCTCTTCCAGTCCATCTCTCTGCTGTGGCCCGGGAAGACAGTGGAGGATGGCCCAGGTGCTTGGGCCCTATACCCGCATGGGAGACCAGGAGAAGCACCTGGCTCCTGGCTTCAGATCAGCACAGCGCGCCGGCTGTAGCAGCCATCTGGGGGGGTGAACCAATAGAGGGAAGACCTTTCTCTCTGTATCTCTCTCACTAACTCTGCCTGTCAAGAAAACACACACACACACACACATACACACAAAGAATTACTTAAATTCCATCCATACTCCATCATTACTGTTTTCATGAGATTCTGTGTTTTACATTGTGACTTTTTTTTAGATTTATTTATTTATTTGAAATTCAGAGTTACAGAGAGAGGGAGAGACAGAAAGAGGGAGATCTTCATCCGCTGATTCACTTCCCAGATAGCTACAATGGCCAGGGCAGAGCCAGGCCGGAGCCAGAAGCCAGGAGCTTCCTCCAGGTCTCCCACATGGGTCATTTGTGCTGCTTTTCCCAACCCATTAGCAGGGAACTGGCTCAAAAGTGGAACAATGGGGACGGGGACTGACACCTATGTAGGATATCAGTGTCACGGGCAGCAGCTTTACCCAGTACGCCACAACGGCCGGTCTACATTGTGACTTCTCATTTGTCTGTCCAACTTCATGGGAAAGGCATTGCCCTATAGAAATGTACCTGCTTGTTTTCAAATGATCAAAAAGGCAGTGTCTGTTTTTTCGAATACCATGCTCTTTATTTTTTTCACTGTAAAATTATGGTTTATTATCAATAAAATTATTGATATGTTTCATAGGTGTTTTGATTTTTTTATATCACTTCAGCCCAATTTCTTTTCTTTTCTTTTCTTTTCTTTTTTTTTTTTTTTTTTTTTGACAGGCAGAGTGGACAGTGAGAGAGAGAGACAGAGAGAAAGGTCTTCCTTTGCCGTTGGTTCACCCTCCAGTGGCCGCCGTGGCCGGCGCACCGCGCTGATCCGATGGCAGGAGCCAGGCACTTATCCTGGTCTCCCATGGGGTGCAGGGCCCAAGTGCAGGGCCACTGCACTCCCTGGCCACAGCAGAGAGCTGGCCTGGAAGAGGGGCAACTGGGACAGAATCCGGCGCCCCGACCGGGACTAGAACCTGGTGTGCTGGCGCCACAAGGCGGAGGATTAGCCTAGTGAGCTGCGGCGCTGGCCCCAATTTCTTTTTTAAAAAGCAATATTTATATACACACACACACTATCCTATATTTCATGCACAGAACTGATTCTCACATAGTGCTTTCATTGATTTTCGCAGAAGGCAAATGTGATTTGACATCCCACTTTGAACTAAAGCTCATTATTAATAATGAGGCAAGTCACTCACATCACTGAAACATGATTGTTAACAAAAACATGAATGCTGTCTATTTTTCCTCATGTTCACGAAATTCCTAAGTCAAACAGGATGCACCTGAGAATGGAACTCCACTTTCAACACTGTGTACTACTTGCTCAACTATGTCAGTGTTTTCAAATCCTGAGGAAATTTTCCCCAGTCTCTGCCTTGCTCAGCATGCAAGAGCCACCAACAGGACACACATCAGGGTCCCCTCACATCAAGTTCAAGCATCAACACAGCAAGGAGACGCTCTGAGTCTGGCTCTCCATTACCTTGTATGGAGCAGACTCTCAGGACGCCACCATTTGCGCCACAACTGTTGCGTACCCTCTCTTCTGCGCCTGTGCATCCCCTGGGCTGGAATCCATGCTTAGTCTGATAGTGCAGTTTACCAATTACTGAAATGAATTGACAAGGCTACCTTGGGAATGCTTGCTTAGCCTAGCAGTTTAGGCACCAGTGTTCCATATCAGAATACCAGTGTTCAATTCCTGACAGAGGCATCTGACTTCAGCTTTCTGCTAATGCAGACTCTGTTGTTTTTTTTTTTTTTTAAGATTTTATTTATTTATTTATTTATTTATTTGAGAGTTAGAGTTACAGACGGAGGAAGAGATAGAGAGAAAGGTTTTCCATCCGCTGATTCAGTCCCCAAATGGCCGCAGCAGCCAGCGCTGAGCCAATCTGAAGCCAGGAGCTTCTTCGGAGTTTCCAATGCGGGTACGGAGGCCCAAGCGCTTGGGCCATCTTGTACTGTTTTCCCAGGCCATAGCAGAGAGCTGGATCCGAAGAGGAGCAGCCAGGACTAGAACCAGCACCCATATGGGATTCGGGCACCACCGGCAAAGGATTAACATGTGCCACAGCACCAAGCCCTAATGCAGACTCTTTAAGAGGTAGTGATGGGGCCAGCATTGTGGCATATTGGGCAAAGCCATCACCTGCAACACTGGCATCCTAGATGGGTGCCAGTTTGAGTCCCAGCTAATCTGCTTCCCATATAGTTCACTGCTAATGGCCTGGGAAACTAGTGGAAGATGGCCCAGGTACTTGGGCCACTGCCAGCCATGTGGAAGACCCAGATGAAACTCCTGGCTCCTGAATTTGGTCTGGCCCATCCCTGGCCGTTATAGCCATCTGGAGAGTAAACCAACAGATCGAAGAAATCTCTCTCTCTCTCCCCCCTTCTCCTCCTCTCTCTCTCTCTTTCAAATAAATAAATCTTTTTTATAAAAGAAAAGAAAACTAAGAGACAGTAATGACTGCTCAAGTAATTAGGTTCCTGCCACTCTTGTGGAAGACCTGGATTGAGTTCACCACTTCTGGCTTTAGCTTGGTCCAGCCCTGGCCATTGTGGGCACTGGGGAGTTGAGGGAGGTGGGGACGTGTTCTCTTTCTCTCTGCCTCTCAGATAAATAATTTTTAAAATAATAACATCAATTTATATGTTTTTTATTTATTTTAATTTAAAAGACAGAAGGGAGCAGACAGAGAAAGCTGCCCTCCACTGGTTCACTCCTTAAATGTCCCCAACAGCCAAGGCTGGTCTGGGCCAGCACCAAGAGCCAGAAACACAATCCATGTCTCCCATGTGGGTGGCCAGAGCCCAATTACATGAACTAGAACCAGGAACCAGACCTGGAATGTGGCCATCTAACTGCTAGGCTAAATGCCCACACCCGACCCCCACCATATTTTAGAAAAAAAGGCAACAAGGAGACAGAAGTAAAGGAACTATATAAGGTAGTGGTTCTCAAACATTAGGACAAAGATTTGTGACTGTCTCAGAAAAAGAATACTTTGTCTGTTGTGGAATAAAATGTGAGGCGAGATTGATGTAAGATATTCTTTAAGACTATATTCACATTTGAGCGTATATTGTAACTGAGGGAGGAGGCTTGGCTTTTTCTGATCCACATTGAAAATTAAGTATGGCAAGGGAACTCAGACTAAGAACTGTGTGGCACTATGATGTTATTAGTGTGAGTTAGAGTAGTTTATTATCTACGTGGGAGTTAAGTATCTTGGGACTATCTTGCAACATATTCAGTATCCGCTTTCTTTTTCAAACACTAATTGTGATTTTTTTTTCATCATATCTAATTGGGTCTTAAAATGTAAACTATACAAGGTAGACAACAACAAATGGTTAATGACTTTTTTTTTCCCCCTCCTTAGGACACATCCAGAAAGTGCCTGGAAGAAAATTCCACCTGGAAAAACTGAAAAAGCACTATTTATAACACTGGAGTTTGTGGATAATTTCTTAAAATGGCGGAAAGTAGTGAAAGTAACGATAAAAATGTAGATGTAAGGCCCAAAACAAGTCGGAGTAGAAGTGCTGACAGAAAGGATGGTTATGTGTGGAGTGGAAAAAAGTTATCTTGGTCAAAAAAGAGTGAGAATTGTTCAGATACTGAAACAGTGAATGCTGTTGAGAAAACGGAAGTTCCTCTAAGAAGCCAAGAAAGGAAGCACAGCTGTTCATCCATTGAGTTGGACTTGGATCACTCCTGTGGGCATAGATTTTTAGGTCGATCCCTGAAACAGAAACTGCAAGATGCTGTGGGACAGTGTTTTCCAATAAAGAACTGTAGTAGCCGACACTCTTCAGGGCTTCCGTCTAAAAGAAAAATTCATATCAGTGAACTTATGTTAGATAAGTGTCCTTTCCCACCTCGATCGGATTTAGCCTTTAGGTGGCATTTTATTAAACGACACACTACTCCTATAAATCCCAAATCAGATGAATGGGTAAGCACAGATTTGTCTCCAAGTGAACTGCGGGATGGTCACCTAAAACAAAGAAGGAACATGGAAGAAGATGTGAACTGTTTCTCACACACCGACGTTCAGCCTTGTGTCATCACTACCAACAATGCGTCATGCACAGGTGGTCCTGTGACTGACTCAGTGGTGAACCTGGTTTCAAATAATAGTATAGAAGATAGTGATATGGATTCTGATGATGAAATTATAACACTTTGCACAAGTTCCAGAAAAAGGAACAAACCCAAGTGGGAAATAGATGATGAAATCCTGCAGCTGGAAACACCTCCCAAGTACCACACGCAGATCGACTATGTCCACTGTCTCGTTCCAGACCTTCTTCAGATCAATAACAACCCGTGCTACTGGGGAGTTATGGACAAATACGCAGCTGAAGCTCTACTGGAAGGAAAACCAGAGGGCACCTTTTTACTTCGAGACTCAGCACAGGAAGATTATTTATTCTCTGTTAGCTTTAGACGCTATAGTCGTTCTCTTCATGCTAGAATTGAACAGTGGAATCACAACTTTAGCTTTGATGCCCATGATCCTTGTGTCTTCCATTCACCTGATATTACTGGTCTCCTAGAACATTATAAGGATCCCAGTGCCTGTATGTTTTTTGAACCACTTTTATCCACTCCTTTAATTCGGACTTTCCCCTTTTCCCTGCAGCATATATGCAGAACAGTTATTTGTAATTGTACAACTTACGATGGCATTGATGCCCTTCCAATTCCTTCTCCCATGAAGTTGTATCTGAAGGAATATCATTATAAATCAAAAGTTAGAGTACTCAGGATTGATGCACCAGAACAACAATGCTAGGAAAAGGGTAGGAACATAGGAATAATTATATACATATTTTCAGTTAGTATTTTTATTTTTCTTATGCCATTTTGAACTTTTCTACAAAGGCAGTTGATATCCAAAATAGTCCTTTGTCCTAGATTTTCCTTCCAGATCAATTTATTTTTCCTATGATATACTAATTGTTTAAGGTTATACCCTAAATTGAATAGGTATTTTTAACCAGATATTTTTGGTTTTTGTTTAACTGTGTAGATTATATACTTAATACTTTTTTCTTAATTTATGTATGATCCAGGCATATTTGAAATTTGATAGGCATTGCAAACTGCGTTAGGATATTCTGTGTCTCATACTTTAAAAATAATCATATTATCTACATGTAAAAAATTTTGTTAATTTATACCATCAGTATTATACATAAAATATAGCTTCCCCATCGCCATTTTCTTTGAGTTGTTTTAAAAATATTCAGTAAAGATGAGTATTGTCATTCACCATTCATACTAACCTGACATTTTAATTTCCTAATAAGGGATGTTAAAGGTAACAAAATGACTTAAAGTCAAATGTAATGTTTTCATTTTAAATATTAACCACAAAGCAGGATTTCTAATATGGTTAACCTGGTCTGTGAGAATCACGTGAGAACATGACATTCCGGAGGTACATCTGTTCTTCAGTAATGTAGTAGGATCGTTTGTTATACCTGATAGGTCTCTTTGTTAACCTGAAAGAGTTATAACGCCTTGAAAACAAATTTTATTACAGAGGCTTTAAAAACAACCATAGCACTTTTAGCAGCTAATAGTTACACAGTACTAAAGCTACTGTAGGGTTTTTGTATATTAACTTACTAACTGTTGCTTCTACTTAGCCCTTTTGTGGAAACTCTTAGCCTCTTAACTTTGGGGAGATTCCACAGTTCATAAGCAGCCACAGGTTTCTACTGGTGAACAAAGAGTACATGAAAAGGTTTTGTTACTTTAAATTTAACCTGAATACAAGTTCAAGAAGTAAACATGGAACTCAGTATTCAGGAAGCTTAATACTGCTCTTCATCTTCAAGTTCCAAATAATTACTCCTGTTTTTAGAATTTATGTTTTTAATGTGGCTTCAAAATAAAGCCTTCAGACAGCTACATGGCTTATGTCATACTGAACAATAAGTAGGACAAAAGGGTAATATTTAAATTGACTCCCAAGAACAGGGCAGCATTTTTAAAAACATCAAACTTCTTTTTGTAAAAGATCAGTTACTAATAAATCTATACAGATTGCCCAGTTTTTCTTCTAATGAGTTGTCTGCCCATTTGTACAAATTGGCATTTGTAATATAATAATTGATTTATTGATGCTAGTTTAGCTGTATTATTAAACTGTTTCTACCTGGATTGAAAGAAACTTCCGAGTTTCCAAGTTAGAACAGATGTTTCCTAATTGTTGCTTTATGTTGAAATAGCATTTCCCTTCCTTGCAGTTCTGCTGGTAACATAAAAATAACACTTCTCAGTAACAGCTTTAAAATCCTCAGCAATTATTACAAAACGAAACCGAAAAATTGTTACCATTATCTTCTAGCATTTTTTTCCTCAGTGATCTCAAGATTGTCTCGGGCTCAGTAAGGGGTAGCTACTATGATGTCATTTCCCTGAGCAGTGATGAGGCTCAGGTTACCATCACACCAGGATCGAGGTAAATACCTGTTTTCAAGATGCTCACCTTTTAGAATGGTGGAAAGTCATACTACCTCATCTTTATTGTGGCACTTTTGTAGATCACTGAGAAGCTTATCTTAATCAACATAACATTTCCTCAGTATCCATCTTTGGTGAAAGAAAATTGACAATGTGGTAAAACTCTACCCACGATTATAGTTTTTTATCAGACTTTGATAAAAAGACTTTTTGTTTCTGTGAAACAATTATTTTAAATATTCTTCTTTTAAAAATAACTTTTTATCAGAACAGAAAACCCAAGGAATGACTAGCTTATGAATATTCTGTTACACAGTAGTTTTATAAAGAAAAATGAGATATAATTATGTTGTCTTTTATAGTGGTAAAAATTAGTGTTTATATGAAAGTCAAGATCTAAGCTTTTCATATAATTCAAACTGATTGCTTGTGATATATTTTCTCTGGCTTTTTATTTTCTCAACTTCAAGGTATTAATAACAACATTTTCAAAATACTGCCATATATGTAGCCTTGAAGTATCTACTAAGAACAGGGAAGAGACTCACTCTGAAATGGTTTGTATTTTTCTTTGGTACTTGCTGCAATGAAAAGAAATTTGGAAAGTAGAAGTATAAAGACTTGAGAAGGGAATTGTTTGCCATGAAGGGAAAAGAGTAGTACTAATTTTTTAAGACATTTAAAGATTGGAATTTAGAAAGGTTAACCCCTTTGTGTCTTTGTGAAGATCCATTTGGAGGAACATCCATTATTCAAAAACTTACTCATCAAAAATGTTCAATACATTTATTGGATTATGGAAAAAGCAAATTTTCAGAGGAACAGTATGGGGTGATATCACTATATCTAAACATAAATTTTGTGATTAAACTTTGAGAACATTTGAAAAGTGTGAATTGCAGGGTTGAGGGGGCATTCAGCGTGGTGGAAATGTGTAGAGTATATTGGTGAGAGAATGGAACTAACAGAAAAAAGATGAAATATTAAAATTAACAATTTGAGCATTACCTCAGGGAAAATCCTTGAGTGAAAGGGAGCGCTACTTAATTGCTAATAGCAAGTCTGGACCAGATACTTAACTGCACTTTGGGAATCATCCTGTGCTAATCAGGATATAAACTTGAACTTTTCTATCTTTCTCTGAAGTTTTGTAGGACATACCCCATCTTTTTTTAACCTACAGCATCTTGATTCGTATTATAATAACTGAAATATGCTGAGTGGTATTTTTTTAAGTTCTTTGAGGATTTTTGTATGAAAACTTGTGATCTTTCTATAATTGTGCCATCCACTTAAATAATTTATAAATAGAATGGTTTAATTTAAAGGAAGACCTAATAGGAACACGCTTAAAGGAGGCTTTTAGTCAGCCTGTGGCTAGATTTATTGATTTGGTGATCAAACTTGTGTTCTTTCCTGAATTTCAGCTCATGACCAGCTCTGGTCAAAAGGATGACTTTAAGTTAAAGTTTTGGATTTTTATTATAAATAATAAAAAAGAATGGTTTAATAATAGAAATCCTTTCAAAAGTAGGACAAATGTGGCAAATAGGAGTCATGTCATTATACAAATTCCCATTTCTTTTTATATGAAAAAAACATAAACCTTATCATTTATTCATGAGCTGAAGCCATTAAGAAGATAAATCAAGTTACCAACTTCCTGTCTCTGAAGTTTGGATCATTTTATAGATCCACGTAATAGCTTCCTTCCTGTGAAACAAAGAAGATATAATTCTTATATTCTTTGTTTTCATTAAAAATAGTCACTTTTGACTGTAATCAGAATCCAATAAATGGCTTATGTATTGATTTTGGCAGAGAATGTCACAGGAAAGTAGACTGAATTATAAAACGTTCCTGGAGACACAACAAGGAAAACAATGTTTAAATGTAAAATAGCCTGGGTAATGTATGGTAATTTAATTTCCAAATGAAAAAAAAAATTTTAAGTCAAGGGCAGATTGTTTCTTCTTTGGGAAAATTCTTTATAATTTTTGTTTCCACATAATTAGTTTTACATTAATTTTTATTTCTAAGGAAAGAACATAAAGCACAAAGGGTTCTTTATTAGTGGCCTATTAGGAATGAGGAATGCTACAAGAGCCTCTCTGTCATTCTGATACACTAAAATTGGACACAAAATTTGGAGGTAACTTTATAAAATGAACTGGCTTGTAAGTAAAAAATATAGATGATGGATATAACCCAATAGAAAGACATTTAGGACACATGAATTCTATTTCAAAAAAGCAAAGATTTATTTACTTTATATTTTTTAGAGATTATTCAGTCCTATGTCTTTTCATATCCCATAAAATCTAAGTAATAATATTCTCATTTTAATTCCTGAAGGATAATTATTCCATGAGAAGTGACTCTCGGAGCATACTTGAAAATAATTACTGTACAGCCGTTAAATACTAATGTGATGATAGGTTTTCAGCATATCCCCATAGTGGAATTTGCAGAATTGTTCTCTTGTTACTCTAATAGACTTTCTGGGCAGGATTTGACCATAGAGAAATCAGTACACTTTGAACTGATGTCATAGCGTCTGCAACTGCAGGAACGACTGCCATTTTCTCTTACAAATTGTAAAGTCTATGTAAAATTGATATCTTAAAAGTTGATTACATTTGCAGGAAATAAGATAATCACTTTTGCTGTGGTTATAATCAAATCTGAGTTTTCAGACTTGAGAGCCATGGTGTAGATTTTCTCAAATTATGCCGACCTTGCTAGAATTGGATAAATTCTGTATAAGCCAAGTATGGCTTATACATACTTGAATATACAGTTTATTAACTTTACAAAGCTATGACTTGTCAATCAGACTTGTAGACCTACACCCTTACCCAAAACAAGTAGATTCTTCCCAGTTTTATTTTTTATCCTGAAGTTCAATGTTTACTATTGGATGTGAGTTCAAATAAGCTGATCTGAGTAACTTTTCATTTCTGAATTAAAACTATGAAAAATCCAAAGGCGTTGTGTTCCATTTTTGGAAACATTGTCTATGCTTACCTCACACATTAAACCTAGTATCTGACAAAGGAAAGTTGAAAACTCTGAGTTACACAGTTTCTGGCTTACTACAGTACACCGTTTGTTTTTGGTTTGGGTCTTCCAAAAGCCATTGTCAGCATGGAGTTGGATATGGGAGAACAGCTTTGAGGGTTAAAGGGGAAGGTGGTAGAAGGTAGGGAAGTCTTTATACCACCCTGCAGATCTGACACCTGTGAAAGATTAGAAGCAAGTATTTTTTTAACAAGAATTTTCTGTTTTTCCATCTACTTTGATTAATCAGAATGCCTCTGTTAAGGAGGAGCTTTGCTTTAAAAAAAAAAAAAAAAAGATTTATTTATTTATTTGAAAGAGTTACACAGAGACAGAGGAGAAATAGGGAGGTTTTCCATCCGCTGGTTCACTCCCCAACTGGCTGCAATGGCCAGAGCTGCACAGAGCCAGGAGCCAGGAACTTCCTCCAAGTCTCCCATGTGGGTGCAGGGGCCCAAGGACTTGGGCCATCTTCCACTGCTTTCCCAGGCCATAGCAGAGAGCTGGACTGGAAGTGGAGCAGCTGGGGCTTGAACAGGCATCCATATGAGATGTCCGCACTGCAGGCAGCAGCTTTACCTGTACACCACAGTGCCAGCCCCAAGTTAAGTATTACGTCCAGATGGCCTCAGTCCAGTGCGTTATGGAAAAGTACAAATGAGGGTGATCCAGTAAGGGGTACATTCAGAAGTTTTCTTGAGACCAGAATGGCCTAACAGAATTCCTCCCCCCACCCACACCCACACTCCTTATCCCCCCCCCCCCCTGGTTACTAAGCTATTGCAGGCAGAGAAAGCTGGAAATTATCCTTTTGATAAGCAGAGCCAGGACTAAGATTATGTCGGTTCCCCACTTGGGGGCAGTTTTTAAAAGATGTAAGGCAGAGCAACAGGGATCTGATCTGTGTTACTGCCCAAATGGCCATGTCAGCCAGGTCTGAGCAAGGCCAAATCAAGGAACTCCATCCTGATCTCAGCTGGGTAGCAGAGACACAAGCACTTGGGCCATCTATCTGCCCAAGTGCTTCACAGGAAGCTGGATAGGAAGTGAAGCAGCCAGGACTCAAGAGATGGATTGCCAGGGCAGAGTGGTAAGCATTGGCTTAACCCGTTGTGGCACAATACCAGACCTGAGGGCACAAGCTTTTTGGCCAAAAGTCACTTTTTCACATCTTATTCTAAAACCAGGATTAATGCAAAAAAAAAAAAAAAGTCTACGGTGAATAAAATTTAAATCAAGGCTGGAACCCATCACTAATTTTCCCTGTTGCCTCAGGACGTATGGCCCCAGAGGGCATTGCTTGAGGGCCTCTGTGCAAGTGCTATTTTCCAGGCCTTTATCCAAAAATGTCTCATGGGCTCGGTATTGGCAATTTTTCTACTGCTCCTTTTTCAGGATGAGACTTGTGTGTGCTGTGGAGCAAACCCAAACCCAGGGGTGTCTTCCTTTCCCAAATGCATAGTGAAATGCCCTGCAGCTCGCCCAGTAATTGCTTACATTTAAAACAGAAATACTACATACATTTTTATATTTTAAATACAAAAATCTTAATAATATCCAAATTTTACAAGTTATGTAATTATCGTAATGTCTTCATTAGGAGTTAGCAAGTTCCATGATCCTTGGGGCCATGAGTCAATCATCTGGGTCTGACAAAATCGGTATTAAATATTTTATTCCCAAAAGATGCCATTGGAGCCGGCGCCGTGGCTCAATAGGCTAATCCTCCACCTTGCGGCGCCGGCACACCGGGTTCTAGTCCCGGTTGGGGCGCCGGATTCTGTCCCGGTTGCCCCTCTTCCAGGCCAGCTCTCTGCTATGGCCAGGGAGTGCAGTGGAGGATGGCCCAGGTGCTTGGGCCCTGCACCCCATGGGAGACCAGGAAAAGCACCTGGCTCCTGGCTCCTGCCAGGATCAGCGCGGTGCGCCGGCTGCAGCGGTGGCCATTGGAGGGTGAACCAACGGCAAAGGAAGACCTTTCTCTCTCTGTCTCTCTCTCACTGTCCACTCTGCCTGTCAAAAAAAAAAAAAAAAAAGATGCCATTGATCAGGGAATATCTGCAGAAACATCCGTTTCTTGATGGAAAATGCCAGCTTCTCAAGCCACTTGCAATCGCTAACCCTTGCTGCATTTGATCCTTTAGTTCTTCAGAATTTTTGGCCAAGGCTCTTGAGTGCGGGTCACGCTGCAATCCGGTTGCACACTTAAGTTGGCATCCAGGCTGACCGCTGAGCGTAGGGAATCGGGAATTTGCATTCAGGGCAACAAGGCCATTTCCGCCGTGCTGACCGACATATCCCCCGCCACGGTCATTTCCTCCGAATTTCTGGAACGCCCCAGAGATGCCGCACAGCCGGCGGGCACGCGAGATGCCCTTGGCCTCGGTCAGCGGCCGCACTGCCGCCGGAGGACCTGCAGGGGGCGCAGAACGCGGCGCCAAGGAGAGAACCCGAGCACGGCTGGGGCGGCGCCCTCGGAGCCTCGGCTGTGGCCGCTCACGCCGCTGTCAGCTGCCGAGTCACCGCAGTCCCTCGGCTCCATCGCGAGGCTAGGGCCTGCGGGGGCACACCTCCGGCCAGGTGAGGCTGCTTCCGGTGGTGGGCTCGTGGAGAGGGACGGGGGAGCTGAGGTGGCGGGGCTGGCGGGTGCCCCCAGTCACCCCAGTGCCTCGGTGGCCTCCCGGGGGCCAGGGATAGGCGTCTTCCTCAGTCACCTTCCTGCACCGCGGGCTGCCCGCAGGAGGAAAGTGACGTCGGGCCCGGTCTTGGGCTGCGAAGCGGAGCACTCGTGCGCACTGCGGGAATCGCTGCGTTCTGCGGCGTGCGGTTCACAGCGTGGAGGAGCGCGAGTTATGCGTGGGGGCTTCCACGGGCCCCACCGTTTCTCCTCTGTACTGTGCACAGCGCTGGTGGTGCTTTTCCTAGACACAGAGTCCAGGCCGGGCACGATACCGTCGCCTCCCGGCCCGGGCTGCCCCCCACTGCACGCCCGCTGCCTGCACAGGCCTCTCGTCCCCCGAGCCCTCATCGCAGGCAGAGGAGGCTGTCCCGAGTCCCTCGGGGGTTCTTTGTTCAGTCGCGTTCTGGTCGCAGGAGGAATAGAAATTTCTTGCCGCGGGTGTCTCTGAAACCCCGCCATGCAAACCTGACTTGCCTCGGAGACTTGTGCGCTGAGCTGTGTGCGGGTGTGTGTGTGTGTGTGTGTGTGTGTGATTTCCCTTCCTCCAGAAGCAGTGGGTAACGCCCAGCCCGCCTTTTTGGAACAGATGCTTTTCAGAATTCAGAATCTTTGAATCAAATTTCATCTATTTTAGAAATATCATTACGTAGAGGCAACAGCATGGGGAGGAGGGCTGTACCTGGGTGAGTATTTGTGCAGCCATGGGTGTGAACGCTTTTTTTTTTTTTTTTTTAGATTGATTTACTTATTTGAAAGAGTCATACAGAGAGAGAGAGAGGTCTTCCATCCGCTGGTTCATTCCCCAGTTGGCCACAACACCCAGAGCTGCACCAATCCAAAGCCAGGAGCCAGGAGCTTCTTCTGGGTCTCCCACGAGGGTGCAGGGGCACAAGGACTTGGGCCATCTTCCACTGCTTTCCCAGCCATAGCAGAGAGCTGGACTGGGAATGGAGCAGCCGGGACTCAAACCAGCGCCCATATGGGATGCCGGCACTTTGCCTGCTGCGCCACAGCCGGCCCCTGAATGATTATTCTAATGGAATGAGTAGAAGCCATAAATAGCTTCAGCTCAGATGTGTGGAAACAGCTGGGTGTCTGTTGCCCACCTGCTGCTCTCCGGGGACTGTTTTAGACACTTGAGTGGACAGAGTCCAGTTGCTCCCCACACAACAATACTGGCCCTCTCTGCAAACTTGGAGAATCCACAGCTCATTCAGGTGACTGACCGAGGAAAACACTCAAACACTGGTCCAGGCCTCTCTTCGGGGACTTCCAGATCCTTTCCTTTGCTTGCTTGTCCAGCCAGTCTCAACGGCTCGACCCTGCCCACTGATTCTGTCACCTCCCAGCTTCTCACACACTGCCCTCCTCTCCCTAAAACCAGTCCTCCACCTGCCTCTCCCAGCCGTTTTCCTCATTCTTCTGGACGGCAGAGACCACTTCCAGGAATTGCCCTGCGACTCCGCTGACTTTCACAAAGCCAACAGTGCCTGGTGCAGTTGTGCCAATAAGTTTCGGAATCCAAGTGAAATATATTTCCAATGTTCGAACTTTCAAAATTCCAATTTCTTGATTTTTCCCAAATGTAACAAACAGTTCATGATCTGATAAATAATCCTTTACTGAAAACTATATATTTTAATTTATAATTTTGATACAACACATACTATCATCCTTTCCACATTCCTCGTACTAAATAAATCAGTGAAAACACCTGATATCCCTTAGTATCTTTTAATAAATATCTTACATGTGCATAGCACTGTGGGGAGCAACTCGGACTAGACTAAGTTACTGGAATTAAGACTTATTCTATGCATCTGCTCTCCCACAATATGGCGCTGAGAAGGGAGTACCAGCTTCTACACAGCTGCCTCCAGTTCAACCAATAAACTGTAGGACCTGCTCCTGATTGGAGGAGAGCAGCGTACTCGGCGTGTGGGTAGCAGAGTTGGGATTGGTGGAAGAGGACTATAAAGGAGGAGAGAGACAACGTGCACCAGGAACATCTGAGGGAACACCTGTGCAGCCCCCGAGAGAGCCGGCCGGCGGTGTGCCGCTCCCCCGCGGAAGTGGGGGAAGTGGCTAGGGGGAACCGCCCTCCCACGGAGGTGGAAGGGTCGGTAGCCAACCTGGGAAGAACCAGCAGCAAACCCGGGAAGGGCCGAGCAGACAAAAGAACAGCGCAGGGTCCTGTGTCGTTCCTCCACGAAGACGGGGAGCGACATAATGGTGCCATGACTCGGA